GTCACAAAACATTATATTCTAGCATTTTTTTAAACACTTTTTGGGACTTATATGCAGGCTAATATTTGTGCCATGTTTGTCCCTGTCTGGGCATAAAGGAGATGTGCCATTGTTGATAGAAGTTGGAGCAAACTAATAATAATAAATAATAATTCTTGTATTTGATATAGCGCCTTATCACGTATTCGAGACATCTCAAAAAACTTCACAGAATATATTGTAAAGTGAATTGACTATATATTTTCTGGGCGAAATGCGGCAGCAGTGTCCCATAAACATTAGTGGATTGAGTGACCAAATTAATTTTTTATTTCTTTTGAAGGAATTATTACCCACAGAAAAATGATCCACCAATCGACTAACAACCGGATTCATAATTATTGCTTGGTAAACAGAGGCGTGTGGAGTAAGAAAACTTGCCTATCGTTTTGCCCTGCTGGGAATCAAACCCAGGTCCTCTTGTTTGCGAGGTGAGTGCTCTAACCACTAAGCTACGGGACTCCACTGTAACAGATACCACCATCACAATTAACCATATAGCTTCTCTCGAATCAATCATATTCAACAACAACTTGCATTTATAAAGTGCCCTTCGTGCAGGGCAGCTTCTCGGAGAGTTTAACAGTGGTGGATTCTGACGCCGAGCCAGGGGAAGGAGGAGGTGACTGTAAGCAGGGGTCGAAGAGGAAGGCTTTAAGTTGTGATCTAAAAAAGGAGAGGTGTGGTCAAAGCAGAGGGATTGGGAGTGAGAGTTCCAAAGCTTCGGGTCATAGCAGCTGAGAGTAGAGCCGCCGATGGGGAGTGCAGAGGGATGAGGGACAAGCAGGAGCACAGAACCAGCCGAGTGGAGGTAACAGGTAGTGGAATGGGGAGAAAGCAAGTCAGAAAGATAGGCAGGTGCCAGGGCTTGAAGGGATTTGTAGACAAGTGAGAAGATCTTTATGTTAAACGTATGCTTTTACATTGATCTTAAACTTAATTTGATCTTAAACTAAATTTGATCTTACATATAATACTTGAAAAAGCATTCTGGGCCACTGACTAATATTTTGGGGCAGGGGGAACGGGATAAATTTTTTTTTAGCTGTTCTTGTGTTAATCAAGAATCATTTGGGAGACTAACAGAAGTCGCTGGGAACACTTAGCAGGTCAGGCAGCATCTATGGAGAAACGAAAGTGAGTCAATGTTTCGGGTCCATGACCCTTCCTCAGAACTGGGGCACGTTGGGAGGGAGAGGCTTTTAAGGGCTAACAGAAAGGGGGGAGGCAGGACACGGACAACAAAAGAGAAAATGGGATAGAGGATGGGGGATGATGGGTTAAAGCGGTGTTAATGATGGAAAACAAAGGGGTGGGGGGAACAACAAAAACAAGAGAGAGAAAAAGTGTGTCTAGGACCCAGATGATGTGATAATGGTCACAGAAGAGGGGGAGGGGAAAGGTGAGCTGTCATGGTCTGAAATTATTGAAATAACTCCCCCTCTTTGTTTTGCATCTTCTCTGCAACATTTGAGAGATCCTGGTATATGGAGCGGCCCTCTCCAGGTATGTGAAATCTCCTTCCACTTTTGACTAATTTTTTAAAAAAAACTGGCAGTCTTTGTAAATGTAAATTTTGGATATTGGGGGTCATTTCTAACTTTTTTGTTTAATATTTCTATTCTGGGCTTGATCGCCCAAAAGGTGAGTCAAATCCTTGTTCTCCTTGGTCCAGAAATAATTTTTGGGTGATTGCAAGTTTTAAGGCCCGGTCTATCATAAAAATAATCTTTATAATCCTTGCAATTGATCCTTCCTCATTAGGTGGATATCTCGAAGTGCTTCACTGGATTTATTGTAAAGTGTCATGACAGTGAATTTTGTGGACAAACACAGCAGCCAATTTTCACACAGCAATGTCCCACCGTCAGTCACGAGGTGAATGGAAAATGTTGTCAGGTGGACTGCAGACTTTGACGCTGGAAGCAGAAACTTCCTTCGCTTTTCAAATGTGCATGGCCCAGCAATCTTTAACATGCATCTGAACAGGCAGACAGGGTGACTTAACATCCCATCTGAAGCACATCCGAGCACTGCAATGGAGTGTCAACCTAGACTACATTAGATCAAATAATGGACTTGTGGGCTTGCACCCACAATTATGTGACTCAGAGGTAAGAGTGCTGAGCCAGTTTAATACCTGAAGTACCTTGATCTTTGACATAGTACTTTGAACACTCCAGGTTGATCAGCAGTGTGCCAAACAGTCTGAAGATTCAAATGGCCCCATTTATAGGGTGGAACAGAACCCCTCTACCAGCCAATTCTAGTAAAAATAACCTTTAGCTAGGGGCCATCCACCAATTCTCAAGCACAATGCTATAAAAACTGGAGAGAGCAAGTTATCCTGGGCAAAGTAGAAGAGTGGAAGTTTTATAGTCATCTGAATTGTAATTCATCGGGAAGAGTCATGTGACCTCTTTGATGGCTCTGCCTCAACACACTTGGTGTATTTTAAAATTACTGTGACTAATAAGATCCCACTGAACCTAAGTTGTCAACTTTGGAGTTTTGCTTTCGACCTTTGGTCCTGAAGACTGCCTGTCCATCTCTCGGTATCTCTCTTCTTCATTCAAGTATTTAAAAGCGTTTTGTGGCTTGTTTGAGGAATTCATATATTTTTGTATATTATTTGTAAATGATAAATGGTTATTAGATGCTGAATTGATAAGATATTTGTATCAGAATTTAAACTTCCAACCTTTTGATGCATCTGTGTTGTATTTAGAAATGAAAATTGGTAGACAGTTACAGAACAACATTGATTTTGCCATATCCTCATTTGTTTTATTTTGTGATAAGCAGAACATTTCATTCCTCTAAACAACAACAATAACTTGAATTTATTAACTGCCTTTCATGTGTAGGATAATGTGTAGGAGCTCTTCAGAAATATAGAGTTGCACACCGAGCAAGGGGGAGAGGGAAGGGGTAAGTACCATGAGCACAGTCTTTTTTCAGCAGGATTTAAAGGCGACAGAAGGGGTGAGAGGGAGTTCCAGTGGTTGGAGCCTAGTAGGCGGTGGCTTGGCCATTAATGGTGGCGTCGGGAAGACACAGAGGGCTTTGAGTTAGCCGAGTGGCGTGCACGAGCAAAAGAGTGGGGTAGGAGAAAATAAGAGATTGAGAGGTGCTAAGGTGAAGGGATTTCTAAGTGAGGACATTGAAGTACATTGGTTGGGAGTGAGGAGAGGACTAAAGTGACAAGTGTGTGGAGTTTGTTGCAGGTGAGGATTCAGGCTGAGATGTCTTGGATCAGTTTGTGCTTAATGTGCTATTTAAAGTTGAATGGATAGGAGAGCCACCGATTGGTAAGTTACCACCAACTAATATTTACGAAATATACTACTGAAAATAACATGTTTTAGGATTTTACTATGGATATTATAATCTGCCTGAAGGCATCGCAACTCTGAGATTGACAGAACAACTCAGACATGACAACTGAACGGAGAACTTGTTCCTTTGAAAAGGGTTTTATGATTCACCAAAGAATTGGTTGGTTTCTAACAAGCTGATTAGGGAGCAAAAACCAAGACTCAGATACAGAAGATATTTCACACAAGCAAATGGCAACCATCACAGATGAATGCAGTACATGACACATTTAGATCCAGAGAATTTTCACTGGTGGGGACTGAACTTAAAGGGGCATTTCTATCCCACATCCAGAAACATTTAAAACACATTTCTACAGATGAAGCAATAATCTATGTATTTTTATGTTTTTGCATCAAACCATAGGAAGATTGAAATAATATGAAAGCAGGAATCTAGTAAGTCTATAAATACAATGTCTTTAATTATCAAATATTCTGTAAAATTTACCTAAAATTCTGTAACAGCTGCTTAAATGGTGACCATCTGGCCTACAAAATAATAATTTGACAAGAATAATCCTTGCATTTGAATACAGCGCCTTATCGCGTCTTTGAAACGTTCTCAAAGCTCTTCACAGAATATACTGTAAACCAAATTCACTGTAAAGATAACGCTGACAAAATCGCCATTACGTTTATTATTATTATTATTATTATGATGGAAGGGCAATTTTGAAAATACAGCTTGGGAATTCCTAGGGGCTGGTGGGGATATTCCCCACTTTATATGTTTTTTTTTAAAAAAATGCCGTGTTTAGATCCCAAACCGCATGAGGCTGTGCCGGGTGTAAAACTACAGTCCCAATCAGCAGCAAGTCAAAAACCCAAACAATAATAAATTGGTCATTTTCAATCCACGACTGTTTGTGGGACATTGCTGTGCGCAATTGGCTGCCGCCTTCGCCCACAAATATACAGTCAGTTCACTTTACGGTGTGTTCTGTGAAGCGCTTTGGGACGTCCTCCCGACGTGAAAAGCGCTATATCAAATGCAAGGATTATTATTATTATTATTATGGGCAACCCGCCCAGGGGGGGGGGGTGAGGGGTAAGTTGCGAGTTGAATGAGAGTATTGTGACAGCCAGAGTTTATGCAGTGCGTGTCATTTGACGGGGGAGGGGGGGGGAGGGGGGGGCAGAGAGAAAAGAGGTTTAAGGTCGGGTCAGCGAAAATGTCATTTATTTTCTCTCTCTCTCTCTCCCCCTCCTCCTCCTCCTCCTCCTCCCCCTTCATCCCTCCCGAGTCCCGCTCGGCTGCTGTGGTTTCCTGTGCACCCTTTCTTTCTCCCTTCCCGCCCACCATCTCTCTCTCTCTCTCTCTCTCTCCCTCCCCCCCCACACCCGCTTTTTTTTCGAGCTTGTGGACGACGTGTGGGAGGGGTGGGGGGGGGGAAGCAGAAGAAAGACGCCATTGCTCGGTGTTGTTGTTGATGCTGAGGGAGGAGGGGAGGGGGGGAGGAGCAGGAGAGTGAGCACAGCCAGAGGCCCAGCCCCGCGCACGCGCACCGCGCCGCCCTCCCCCCTCCTCTCTCTGTCTCGCCCCAGCGACCTCAGGCCGGCAGTTGCCCCACTGCGCCTGCGCCGGCCGCGCCGCCATTTTGGCCCCGTGGAGAGCCGAGTCCCTCGGATGCGGTAGGGAGGGAGGAGGAGGAGGAAGGAAGGAAGGAGGGAGGGAGACGACGACGAGGAGGAGGAGGAGACGGAGGAGGAGAGGGCCGAAAGCCGAGAGCCGAGGCCGGGAGCCGAGGGGGGCAGCGCGACTCGAAATGGCCAACATCGCGGTGCAGCGGATTAAGCGGGAGTTCAAAGAGGTCATGAAGAGCGAGGAGGTGAGGCTTAGCCCCCGAGCAAAATACACCCTACCCCCTCCCTCCCTCCCTCTCTCTACCCCTCTCTCCCCTTCACCGGCTGCGGCTGTCTCCTCCCTCACCCCCCCCCCCCCCACACCTCCTCCCCTCCTTGTGACACCGCACCGGGGGTGACGGACAGGCGGCCGAGGCGCTTTAGGAAAGTCCACGGGGGCGGGCGAGGCCTTCACCGTCAATACCCGAGAGGGGTGGGGGGGGCACAGAGCAAATGTACCAGTGTACCAGTGTGTGTGTGTGTGTGTGTCTGTCTGTGGTGTAACAGCAGTCACTGATGGGCGCGAGTGGTCATGGATGAGGTACATTTTGCGGTGCAGCGGTTGAAGTGCCTGCACTCAGGTGGTTGGTTGGGGGGAGTGATGCTTTGCTTTGCGGGAGGGTTCGTGTGGGGGGAGACCCGTGCCCAGGCCGGTGGACCCCGAGGCTTTTGGAGGTGTGTGGTAGTCTAACCTGGTAAATCAGACAGATGTGCAGGAGAGCAACAATGTGCAGGTTTTTTTTGGGGGGGGGGTCATTGACAAAGAGCTTCACAGTGTGTGATTTTTTTTGACAGCGGCTGCGGTTTGCAGGAAAGGCATTTGAATTCTCCAGTGGATTTGCAGTGCTGTCAAAATTATGCTTCATTCCCTCCGCTAATGTTCATTTCAGTGATGAACAAAGGGAAGTATGGAAGTATGCCACGGCATTATTCGAAGGATATCAAGTTTCGCTCGACATTTTGGGGTTTTTAAATAGATTTCAGGCAATCGCACTTCTGGAATTATCGGCCGCTTCGGTTTCTTGCATCTGCAATAATTTGTTTCTCAGGAGAGAAATAGAATTTCAGGGCAGTTTGGGCCTATGCTGTAGTATGAAGTTTCAGGTAGTTATCAATTTGGTTGAGTCATGATGTCAGATTGTATGGTGGACAGGGTGAACTACTGACAAACATTATGATACTTGGTGAACATACCCTAGTTCTTAACTGATTCTTAGTTTTTCCAAAAAATATTTTTCTTCTACTTATTATGAACAACTTATCAAATATCTATAGCGTTGGTGTTAATCTCTTATCGGTTTGGAACATCAGTGCTTGTGTAGTATCTGTGTTGCACAAACTCTTCTGGTTCTGCAACTTGGTTGATTTGCATTGACAATCTAAAACAATAATGTTGCATTTTAACTATAAATACATATCCACAAATGATCTCTATGTTAATAGCTGAGAATACTGTTATTTAATAGTTACCATATAGAAAACTCTTTCATTCGATTTTGAGCTGTGTGTACTATAGAGATGCACATTTCCTACCAATAGAGTGTTTCTGAATTTAAGTATGTGTAGTATGTTCTGTCAGTTTTGTTGGCATTGAAACAATAAAGCCTGACTGGTTCAGTTTATTCTGAAAATAGGAAGTTCAGTGTTTTTCAATTCTAGGCCATTTTAAAAGTCAGCAGATCATGGGGGAGTGTGCCTTCTGTTTATTCCCAATACCATTTTTTCTCAAGCTCCATTTACCTATTCCATTTGAGCTGATAATGTCGTTATGAACTTGGACTTGCTGATCACAAATTAAGATCATTTAAGTTATGGCAGTAAAAAATGATTATTATACAGAGTTCTACTAATTTATTTATATAATAGAAAGTATTGATTTTAATATTTTGAAATGTCCTTAGACTTTTTCTGAAACCTACCATGATGTGTAAGCTACAGGAAGATGGATTTCCTAATTGATAAAGCAATGTTGTGTTAAGCCTGAATGTAGCCTTGAGCATGAGACTGTATAGTAAATACTGTATATAGATATCATTGAAAGGTGATTTTGCTTTATGATTAAACCATATGTTGGAAATGTATCGACTGCTGACTTTCTGTCCCATTGCATTATTGTTTTCTCAATACTGAATGTAATAGTCAGAAGTCAGTCGTTTCAAATCTGAGGTTAGCAAGCATTTCTTCATACATAGGGTTGTGAAAGTGGAACATTCTGCCCCCCAAAAGCTCTATTGGAGGAATCAACAGGGATGTGTAAAAGAGGTGAACTTAAACCCCGGCTAACTGGACCAGTCGGGGAGAGATCCAGTCTGGAGAGATCGAATTTCCAGCTAAGTGTAGTTTCAATGCCGATACTCGCATTTACTGGCTTTTTACGGCCCTGGTTTTTTTGTGAGGCTGAAAATTTCTGGTAAATGCCAGTCCTGGCATTGTCATTGTTAAAATCCCACAAGCAGAAGATAGCAAATAAGCCAATGAGTCAAAGTTAATATTCCTGACCGCTGAAGGATGGATGTGCACTAGGTGGGTGGGTGGGAATCTACACTTGCGTTGGCCTGCGCATTTGTTTTTTAATTTTTCCGTTTTTGGGTCCTCCTCGGCTAGGTCTGAATTCTGGATACCCGTGGGCCATGGATTTCTGTAGTAGAAGGAATTAAGGATGTATAGTTAGTTATTTGAGGAGGATAAGTTTGCAGGGTTATGGGGAGAGTGCGGGGAAATCGGATTAATTTGGGTAGTCCTTTTCAAAGAGCTGACCCAGAACACGATGGGCCAAATGGCCTCCTTCTATGCTCTATGATTCTATATGGCAAAAGCAAAAGGATAAACCATTGGGATTAAAAGATCTGAAAAGATCTAGTACTGGTGCAACAGGCTTGATGGGCTGAATGACTTTGTGTTTGTTTTGCTTTTTTTTTGGTTAGCCGGGTGTCTGACGCATGCGGAAACCCTTCACCGTGCTTAAGAGTATCCAAACCAAACTGAGATTTCTATGCATCCCACCTACACATGGAAATCCCAGAGACAGATTGTTGGAATGGAATGCGCACTCTCTCCCTGGAGGGATGCATCCTAGTCACCTAATTCTGGAAAGTATTAGGCGCAGTTTGACAAGAGTCAAGGCTTGGAAACCCCAGTGTATGCGTTGGGGTACTTCTGGAGTCTAACCAGCTAAAACCACATTGCTTGCCAAGCTTTCCTGCTGCGTATCCAGCTAGAACCACCCTACCTCTTAGGGCTTTGGCTTGCAGGGTTAACGGGAGCTGAGTGGGAGGATCCCCGCCCTCGGGTGCTGCTGATAAGCCAGGCTGGCTGTGCTGTGATCAGCAGTGCCCCGGAGTACGGGGGACCTGCCTGGCTCAGGAACTGGACTACCAAGCCAAGTTCAGCTCCAAGGAGACACTGCTAACCTCCCCCTAAGGGGGATAGTCACTAGTTGGTCGTTTGACATCTGATAAGCATGGGTTTGAGGCCTCACTTGATGGATGGTAGGTATCAGGAACTCCCTGCAAGCTTCCTGGTGCGCAAAACAGCTCAGTGTAAATGCGTGAGGGAATTGCCATCTTCCTGTCCGCAGCTCAGGCACATGCCCCTTCCCACTGAGTGATGTTTCCACCAATTGGTGGTGTGGAGTTTCCTATATCCTATTCTAATTACAACAACAAAATTACATTTGTATAGCACCTTTCACGTTGGAAGGACATCCCAAGGCGATGGACAATTCGGACCCGAACTCGGGAGGGTGGAGGGCAGGGGGGCAAGGAGGGTGATCGAAGGCATGGTCGAACAGGAGGGTCTTGAGGTGGGTCTTGAAGGGGGCAAGGGAAGGGGTGAGGCGGAGGGACTGCGGCATGGAGTTCCTGAGGGTGGGGCCAGAGTGGCTGAATGCCCACCAGCCAATGGTGGGGCGGGCGAGTCGTGGGACGTGAAGCAAGCTGGAGCCCACTGAGGGTAGTAGGGGATTAGGAGGTTGCAGAAGTAGGGGAAAGCGAGGCCACTGAGGGCTTTGAAGGTGAGGAACCAAGATCTTGAACTGTATCTTCTGTGTGATGGGAATCTGGTGTAGTCGGGCGAGGACGGGGGTGATAGAGACACGGAGCCTGGTGCGGGAGAGGACACGGGCTGCTGATTTCTGGATGATCTGCAGACTATGGAGGGAGGAGTTGGGGAGGACGACAAGCAGGGAGTTTAAATAGTCGAGCCTGGATGTCATGAATGCGCGTATGAGGGTTTTGGCGGCCTGCAGCGTGCGACGGTGGTGGAGCCGGGGGATGTTGCGGAGGTGGGGGAAGGCAGAGCGGGTCATGGCACAGACGTGGGGTAGGAAGGTTAGTCAAACAAGATGCCAAGGTTCCGGACTGGCTCAGTGAGGTGGAGTGTGCATCCACGGATGGTGATGGTGAGGTGTGGAGGCGCTAACGGGAGCCACTCAGGAGGTCCTTGGTATTGTTGATGTTCAACTGTTGAAAGTTGGGTCTCATCCAGATATTCTGTCAGGACATCAGTTGTCCTGGAGTCAAGGGTGGAGGCAGAGATATAGAGTTGGGTGTCATGTGCATACATGGGAAAGTTGACCCCATGTCTGTGGATGATGTCACTAAGAGGGAGCATGAAGATATTGGAAGAGGAGGGAACTAGGACAGAGCCCTGAGGAACGCCGCACAAGACGGTGTGGCGGCTGGAGGAGAAGCCGTTTGTGGAGATGAAGTGGAGACGGTGTGAGAGGTAGGATCTGAACCATTCATGAACCACGGCTAAGGCGAGGCAGTGGAGGAGGATAGGGTGGTCAACGGTATCGCAGGCAGCAAGGAGATCAAGGAGGACGAGGAGGTAGAGGGAGTCCTGTTCGCAGTTGGAAAAAATGTCATTTATCACTTTGACCAAAGCAGTGGGTGGCACAGAATTAGTGTGAAAGTCTAGTTCTTCTGAGTATTTAAGTTCTAATTCTGATTTGTGTTCACCAAAGCATTTTTTGTCAAACGCTTTGAGTATTATTTTGCATAATAAAATATAAATCACATTTGTTCCTCAAGTTTCTATTTTATTTTTAAAGTCTTCATACACTTAACAATTAATTTAAACACTGGCTTTTTAAACACCCCAAACACTCTGAACTTAAAGTAAAGGCAATCAGTCCTAAAATGGAATAAAATGCATTTTTTAGGGTAAACAAGGAGTTTGATGATGGAGGGGAATAGCTGAGGATTGGAGTTGGTTGGGACATAAAGAGATTCAATGTGGGCTCAGAGATGGAGGATGAGAAACATTGCTGTTTTTGTTTTTCAGCTCACCTAAGTTGGAAATTAACTTGGTTGTGGTGGTTGGCAAGTGAAATTTTCTCTCCATGTTTTATTAGCTTTTCCTATTCTGCTTACCAGAACCTAACAATATTTATGCATGTGCACTTTTTCAGGTTGATGTCCTCATTCTACAACAATAATTAGTATTTATATAATTCATGTTTATTTATGAATAAATATTTTTTAGTTTAAAAAAAATCCACACTATAATTGGGACTTCTCTTTATGCACATCTGTATTATAGGTTGCGAAATACAGTTTAATAAACCTTGAACAAGAAGTCATCATTTTAATTTCTACTTTTTAGTTTGTTTTAGTAAGATTTTATAGCTGCACGAGAAATTTTGTAATGCTACTTCGAACCAGGATCCCCGCCCCCCCGAAAAAACTTGCAATCAGAAAGCAAGGCTTTCCTTCCTGCTGTAACTCTGACGCCCAACTGTATCCCCACCATTGTCACAACAAAGTCTTAATGTACAATTATATTTGACTTAGTGCCGTGTTTTGCCCACAAAATAGTCAATTCACTTTACAGTATATTCTGTGAAGTGCTTTGAGATGTCTAGAAGATGTGAACAGCGCTATATCAAATGCAAGGATTATTATTGTTGTTATAAACATCACAAAGCGCTTCACAGAGACTTGCTCTCAACTTTGTGATTTTGCATTCGTAAGCAAACAATCCAGTCAGTTTGTAGACAGGGTCCACAATGACCATTTTATTTGGAGTATTGTTAGTTAGAATACTGGGAGAAACTTATTTTTCCTTTTGAATAGTGCATGAGATCTTTACCATCCACTTGAATAGGCAGGTGGGACCTTGGTTTAACACTCTCATAGAATTATAAAGCACAGAAGGAGGCCATTTGGCCCAATGTATCTATGCCGACTTTATTCGAAGAACAGCTCCTCTAATGCAGCAATCCTCCATTGCTGCACTGGTGACATCTTAGGATGTGACCTCAAAGTCCTGAGTAGAACAGATGAAGGATTAAATTTGTGGTCTTTCTGGTCTACTCACCACACAACCAAACAATACGATGCATTTAACTGCTGGGGGTGGAGGGAACCCATAAAGGAGTTACAAGATCACAGTACTACAATTGAATGGATTCATGGTTGGGTTATGAAGGCACTGAATGCAGAGATGAAGAGAGTCTTGAAGGAGCATCTTTATAAGAATCGTTTTAAAAATGAAATTATTGAATAATTATAATATCTATTTTTAAAAATATTTAAATAATGGATGCTGATGACATCCCTGGAGACACACATTTACAGGATGTGTTGAGCCCAAATGTGTCAGAGCTGAAATAACATCTTCGATTATAGTTTTATTTCTAATTCATCATTCTTACATTGTCAGCCTTTATAGTCCCTCTAAGATGGTAGCCTCAGCTCTTGTAATGTAAACAATAATTCAAGATGAGAAATCAAATTCTAATTCATTCTTTTCAATTTTTTTTACAAAGAAGCAACCGTAATTGTGAAACCCTTGAAAATGTCCCACTCTAGGATCCAAAATCTACTGTGCTCTGTCACTTATAGTAGAGGAGCTTTTGGTATTGCTAATTGTTAAACAAGGCTTAATAATAATTATTTTCCTGTTGATATTATCTAGGTGTAGCTTTGTCTGTGGGCTGTGTTGTCTAAACCCATAAAAATGCGAAAGTAGTTAACAAAAGTGAAGTGACATTTAAATACTATATGAAAAACATTATAAGATGACTCCTGAATTTCCTTCAATTTAACTATATTGAACGTTCCTTGTACCTTCTGGTTGCTAACAATAATGTAGCACTTAGTGAAATCCATTGTAGAATTGATACAACTGTTGACTTTCATTCCTGGTTCTGAAAATAATTGCTTGATGATAAAAATGTTGTAGCTAATGTTCTCTAAAGAATTGGAAAAAGGTGTTAATAAAACCAGTTGAAGCTAATAAAGTGCAACTATCACTCGAAACTCTTAATATCTAACCATTATGTGTTTTCTTTTTCCTTTAAAGACCAGCAAGAATCAAATAAAAGTAGAACTTGTAGATGAGAACTTCACAGAATTGAGAGGGGAGATTGCGGGACCTCCAGACACGCCATATGAAGGTAAGGACTGGACATGGCACTCTATTCTGGTCGTTTTTTATTTCTTTCAATAGAAAGTTTTACTTTGAGTGAAGCAACACAGAAAAAGGCCATTCTGTGTCAAACCTGTCGCATTTTTAATACATTTTTTGATTTTACATGAATTTATCCCTCAAATATCAAGATTGAGTATTTTAAAGATAAACTTGACGAATGTGATAGTTTTTGCATCTTCTGCATTTTCCTTGTCTTGCATTCACTGCAATTTAGCAGAAGCAATTTACAAATCATCATTCATTGATTAATAATAAAGTGCTTCATAGGATATATTGTGAAATGCATTGACTTTCTTGGCGAACGCGGCAGCCAATTGCACACAGCATTGTCCCAGAAACAGCCATGAAACAAATGACCAATTTTATTTGAGGGATTGTTGGCCAGGACACTGGAGGAAACTCGCATCTCTTTTCAAATCATGCGATGGGTTCTTTAACATCCACCTAAGCAACAGGTGGGACCTCGTTTTAGCTTCTCATTTGATGGATGGCATCTCCTACAATGCAGCACAACCCCATATGAGTACCAAGTTCCAATGTGGAGCTGATCTGATAACCTTCTACTCAGATGCTATTCACACATGTTTATGGCAATTATCAGGTTTACAGTCTTTTTATTTGAAAGAATTGTGTTCTTATGGTTTGTTAATAGGAAATTTGCTCTTTCCAGAAGGAGAATCTTTTCACTATAACTATATCATAATTATCAAAACAATTTTTGTTTTAGTGAAAACGTTTCTGCATTTTATTGCTTCAGAACCCTTCTATTTTCTCACAGACTGACCATTTCTACGACAACAACACCACCAAAATTACATTTATAAAGCGCCTTTCATGTTGGGTGGACGTCCCAAGGCACTGGACAGAGTTACGGACCCGAGCTGGGGGTCGGGGTTGGGGAGGGTGGAGGGTAGGGGGGAAGCAGGAAGAGATCGAAAGCCCGGTTGAAGAGGTGGGTCTAATGTGGGTCTTGAAGGTAGCAAGGGAGGGGGCGAGGTGGAGGGACTGCAGGATGGAGTTCTAGAGGGTGGGACAGAGTGGCAGAAGGCCCACCCGCCAATATTGGGGCAAGCGAGGTGGGGGACGTGAAGCAGGCGAGTGCCCGCTGAGCGGAGGAAGCGAGCAGGATGGTAGGGGGTTAGGAGGTCGCAGAGGTAGGTGGGAGCAAAGACCATGGAGGGCTTTGAAGGTGAGAACCAGGATCTTGAACTGTATCCTCTGTGTGATGGGAAACCAGTGGAGTTGGGCAAGGATGGGGGTGATAGGCTCTAGTGCGGGAGAGGACGCGGGCTGTAGAGTTCTGGATGATCTGCAACCTGTGAAGGGAGGAGTTGAGGAGGCCGACAAGCAGTGAGTTTGCATAGTTAAGCCTCATTGTAATGAAAGTGTGTATGAGGGTTTTGGTGACTGCGATGTGAGACAGTGGCGGAGCCGGACGATGTTGCAGAGGTGGGGGAATGCAGAGCGGGTCATGGCGCAGATGTGGGGGTAGAAAGAATAGTTGAGCGTCAAACAAGACCCCAAGGTTCTGGACTGGCTCAGTGAGGTGGAGTGTACAACCGTGGATGGTGATGCTGTCAGTGCCTGAAATAAGGAGACACTGACGGGAGCCAATCAGGAGAGCCTCGGTCTTGTTGAGATTCAACTGAAGAAAGTTAGCTTTTATCCAGGACTTGATGTCCGATAGATATTCAGTCAGGACAGCAATGGTCTTGGAGTCAAGGGTGGAGGCAGAGAGGTAGAGTTGGGTGCCATCTGCATTCGTTTCCATTCTAGGTAATTTTTGTGAATGCTACTTTGAAGTGGTGCCCCAAATTGCTATGCAATGACTTTGTTCTCTTCCTCCTTATGACTTGATAAGGAGTTGCTTGGCATCTCCCATAGTTACACAGTCGAGGTTGAGAATTCAGTGGAATGGATAATCAAATTTGTTCCACACAGTTGATGTGGTGAGCTATCAAAGTCCTCTTTCTTGTTGTATGTTATGGTCTGCACTAATGTGAATTTTCTTATCCAAAGGATATTTTTTGGAGATGACTAATTGAACATCCAGTGCAGGATAGTTCCTGTGGTGTACTTGTATGTAATATAGTATCTTCAATGTATGAAGATTTGTTGTTTGATGCCAATTTGTTTTAGTTTAACTTATATATTACATCAACTGTAGTTTCCCTCTGCTGCACAAGGAGAAAGATTGCTTGTTCCTGCTTAACATAACCTAGTTAAACTATCTTGTTTCTGTTGGACCTGAATTATCTGCCTGGATTACTGTCATATTGAAAAGACCATCTCTTCAAGCTCGATTTTCATCAAAATCTAAAAGGACTTTGAAGCCCACATGGTCTCTTTTGCCGATATTTGCACATGAGGCAGACTGATCACTTGGGGCAAGGATATCAGCTTCTGTTCATTCTGCAAGCTAAAGCCCTAATGGGTAGGGTGGTTTCAGATGGACAAGTCGTGGGAAGCTTGCCAGACATTGGTTTCAATGGCAAACTGTGCATTTTAGCTGGTTAAACTCCATCAGTTGTCCAACATAGAATCTGGGCACCACGGAGGAATGCACTATACTTACCTAAATCCCGAGAGTATTAGCTGCAGGCTAGTAAAGTTGTTATTCGACTGCACCTAATACTCTTGGGATTTAGGTAAGCAGGGTGCATTTCTCTGGGCAGAGAGTGCATTCCTTGCCAGGTACGTAAATATCCAGTGTAGGTGATATACATGGAACTCTGCATTGTTTGGATACTGTTAAGCGTGGTGATGGTTTTCCTCCCCCCACCATCCAGTTTATAAAACTCTGTCTCACAGATAAGAGAGGGAGTTTTATAAGCTAGATGGTGAGGGGGAGCAAAATATACAGTATACAGGGATTCGGCCACAAAAATAAGTCAATTCACTTTACAGTATATCCTGTGAAGCGCTTTGAGATGCCTTGAAGATGTGATAGGCAGTATATCAAATGCAAGTATTATTATAATAATCCCTCCAAACTTAAATAATAATTTAGCCACTCAATCCGTTGCTGTCTTTGTGTTACACTGCTATGTGCAATTGGCTGCCGCGTTTTACCCACAAAATATTCAGTCGCTCCGCTTTGAGACGTCTCGACGCCATGCTAAGGCACTATATCAAATACAAGGATTATTATTATTATTATGTGGCGGTTTCATTGTATAATTCGACTGCTTGGAAGCCAATTTGCATCATTGATATTGTTCACTTTTGATGCTGAATTTCCCTTCTAGACCAAGGACAACCCCAGGTTCCTCTTTTTCACCACCAACCGGCTCTCACCCTCTCACACCTTGTATATCCTCTCCTCTAACTTCAACTGTGAGGAGATGCTGGACATCCTCAAGACCAAAATTAAGGGGATCCGCTCAAACGCTTCTGCCGTCCAATCCCCTCCCCATCTCACCCTCACACTGACCCCTACGCATCCCTCTCTCTACACCTTCGAACCTGTCTCCCTCTCCTCTCTCACCACCATTATAACCCATATTAAACCTACTGATATAGCCTCTCTCTCATGAGATCTAATTTTAAAATAAGTCTTTACAATGTCAGATAAAGATCAAGTCAATTTTTTAAAAAAAATTGAGCAGGCAGATGGGACCTCGGTTTGCTCTGAAAATGCAACCAACCCCCACTCCCCCAGCCCTGCAGTGTCATCTTAGTCTATGTGATTCCAAGTCCTGATGTGGGGCTTGAACCCACAACCTTCTGAGAAGCAAGAGTGCTACCACTCTGCCAGGTTGACACTGTGTAGGAACTTGATGACATGGGAGGTGCATTGTCAAGAGGAGCCGTCCTTCAGATGAGATGTTAAACTGAGGTCCCATCTGCCTGTTCAGGTGGACATTAAAGATCCCATGGTACTATTTGAAAAGAGAAGTGAGTTTCTATTTGTGTCCTGGCCAACAAATCCCCCCTGGCCAACAAATTCTTACTCCACACGCCTAATAATAATCCCTCCAAAAAAAACAAAACAATAATAAATTGGTCATTTTCAATCCGTGACTGTTTGTGGGACATTGCTGTGCGCAATTGGCTGCCGCGTTCGCCCACAAATATACAGTCAATTCACTTTACAGTATATTCTGTGAAGCACTTTGGGATGTCTAGAAGACGTGAAAAGCACTATATCAAATGCAAGGATAAAAAAAAATTGTCTGTTTGTGGCACACTGCTCTGCGCAACTAGTTGCCGTGTTTCGCCCACAAAATACATAGTTAATCCACTTTAAAGTATATCCTGTAAAGTGCTTTGAGACATTTCAATGACGTTATAAGGAGCTGTATCAAATGTAAGGATTGTTCTATTGCATTAATCAGTGACTACATAATATGCAAAGTTGTGCACTTCATACAACAAACGCACCACGAGTCACCAAGTCTGTCAATACAGCGGAAGAGGTCAGAGTCTAATCTGAAAATGTCTTAACAGAAAATTCAACTGAGAATTACCAAGGAATGTCACTGATTTCAGTAGCTCTCTTTGGGTAGTCACTGCATGTATATTGGACGTATTGGGTCCCTGGGATCAGGAAGTAACAGTGCACTTGCCTTGCAAGTCCTGACAGACACCATAATTGAGCAGCGCATGATGTTTTGGTGACGGAGATATAAAAGAGGCACCTGGGTGTTAAGCCCACATGCAGATATTGTCAGTCTCTGTGCTAATTCTGGAAGATCTGGCAGAAGGCAAGAAAAAAAACTGCTTCTCTTAAAGAAAAATAGCTCGGCAAAGCAGGGAGCATTACTATGCAGTTGAATGCCAGTACATATACACGTACTGGAGAAAGGTGAATTTGGAAATTATGTGCACTAAAAAGGATTTTTACAATTTACTGTAGACTGTAGTTTTGTAGGTGAACAAATATGAACATAGCAAGACTTAACAAATTACAACAAATGTGGGTGAGGAGAGAGTACAAATCTGACAGTAAGGATTGTGTATGGGCCAAATTACCATCTCTCAATCAACCCTGGTACTACTTTCAAAGAAAATATTTGCATGGAACTAAGGGTAGATATCCACACCTCAAACAACTGATTTGTAGGAGAAGGCCATAAAGTCTTGTTCAGGAGAGAAACTCTGGAAAGCATGGACCTGGAAAGCTCTGAAATCTTGGAGTGGAAAAACCTATTAGTGGTGGGTACATCATTATTCAGATGATAGTTTGCACAATATGGTATAAGAATGTGCACCAGTGTGCAGTAATTCTAATGATGCAAGGCACTACTCAAAATGAGATACATTGACCTTTTTTATTGATGTCGTACAGAATGTGAAACCAGTGTGCCATAGCAGAGGATCACCTCTCATAGGATGTGAATCATCACTTGAAGTCAGCACCACCATAGATGCATAATACAGTGTGGGTGATTTTGATATTGCAAAGGAGGCACTTATTGGTGAGGGACAAGTACATTAGTGAGAAGGTTGCATGTAGATGTAGAGCACATAGAGAAGGTTCCCTGTTTTCAAGTGGGGAGTGGTAGAGCGGTGGAGATGAGCTGTCTTGCGCTTACTTGCCTCCATTCAGACTTGTGTGTTCTGTCTCATAATGACTTAAAAAGAAAAGTACCAGATGTCTACGCTCTCATCTACAATAAAGGACAAGACAACACAAGTGCCACCTACAATGGTGCTTTCACTTATACACACTGATGGCGTACTCCTGTTGCTAATACAGACGTATTGGGATATGAAGCAACTTTTGGAGAATAGTTGCTTAGAACCAGAAATATAGGATTAATTCTGAAAGGTGCTAACTCAGATCAGTAGACATCTTAATGAGGTATGTGTTGAGTTGTATGAGGATAGATAGTTGCCATTCATGCTATGGAGAGTTCTTTGTTTGCTGTACATCTACACAAGTGACACCAATACTTCTGAGAGCATTGAACCTCCAGTGTATTTATCACTGATGTAACATTGTTCGTCACATGTTCAGGTTAGCAAATCTATTGTATCCACTGTGTACTTGCACCATATCACTCCCACAAATAGAATACTATTAGGTAGGATACGACACATCAAAAAGAACAAATGTGAGAGCAAACCATTAGTAATTCCACATCGTTATAAATTGATCATTTTAATGCATCTTATAGTATTCCATTCTTTGTCCCGAAGATGAAGGGATGAAGTTGTATACAATCCAACCAAATAACAGATGTGCAACATGCACATTAAAATTAAAACAGGAATGTCACATAATTCTGTGAATGCAAACATGTCTATTGAAATAGTGCCCACTTTCAGAGCTCACTGAAACAATTGGACATCAAAACTGACACCCATTCACCCTGTTCCCACCAAGTTTTGAGGTGCATGTAGGTGAATGCTTCACAATGATACCTTTCAATTATCTCATTGCAGAAGAACACTGAAAACTGTTGACTCTTGAAATACCATCTGTGGCTATGTGAAGGGTCCTTGTGGTAGTTAAGAGCATTCATGACTTTCAGTGCCATGAATGTCTGTCTTAATATTGGAAGCTTATACTGTTTTTTGTGGATCTTATTGCTGTGCACCTTCATTCCTTGTGCATGACTGCTCCATCATTGTTAAATACCTTTATCTACTGCAGTACACCCTCTTGCAGTAATGCCTTCTTTGAACTTTCTGCACTTGTCTCTTCTGCATTCTTTAGACCACTCTCGTACTTTCCACAGTTGCTACATAGATCCTATTATTCAATTCTGTCACTGCTCTGATAATAAATTCCAGCTGTAATAAACTCACTGATTTGACATGGCATTAAATGCTCATTTTTTTAATCTGAGCTATGATGCCTAAACTCATTCCAGTGATTGACTAAAATCCATATGATTCTTCAACATGTCTTAAGATTGCATTCAGAAGCAGAAACCCCACTGAATCCTTGCTAATGGCACTTCCCTCCATAGGTTGCAGATCATCCAGAACTCTGCAGTCCACGTCCTCTCCCGCACTATGCTCCGTGACCCTATCACCCCCAACATAACATAACATGTAGGAGCAGGAGTAGGCCATTTGGCCCTTCGAGCCTGCCGTGCCATTCAATCATGGCTGATCTTCTAATCTAACTCCAGCTAATAACCTAACCCTGCCTTATCCCCATATCCCTTAATCCCTTTTGCAATAAGAAATCTATCTGTCTCAGTCTTGAATATGTTCAAGGACTGAGCGTCAACAACCCTTTGGTGTAGTGAGTTCCATACATTCACCACCCTTTGAGTGAAGAAGTTCTTCCTCAACTCAGTGTGAAAGGGCTGGCCTCTGATTTTAAGGTTGTGACCCCTGGTTTTAGTTTCTCCAACCAGGGGAAACAATCTCCCACTATCTACTCTATCATGCCCTTTGATGATCTTATAGGTTTCTATAAGATCCCCTCTAATTCTTCTATATTTCAGAGAATATAGGCCCAAATTGGTCAGCCTATCCTTGTAACTCATCCCCTTCATCCCTGGCACTAGCCTAGTAAATCTACGCTGCACCCCCTCCAAGGCAACTACATCCTTCCTTAAATAAGGAGACCAAAACTGCACACAGTATTCCAGGTGTGGTCTCACCAGGGCCCTATACAGTTGCAGCAAGACTTCCCTACTCTTATACTCTAATCCTTTCATACTGAATGCTAACATACCGTTCGCCTTCCCAATTGCTGCTGCACCTGCAGACTAACTTTCTGTGATTGGTGTACAAGGACACCCAAGTCCCTCTGGACGCCAACACATTCCAGTCTCTCCCCTTCTAAAAAATAACCCGCTCTACTGTTTTTGCTACCGAGGTGGATGACTTCGCACTTCCCCACATTATACTTCATCTGCCACCTACCTGCCCAATCACCTAACCTATCTATGTCTCGCTGCATTTTTTTAATGTCGTCCTCTGTGTTGACACTTCCTCCTAGTTTTGTGTCATCCGCGAATTTAGATATATTAACTTCGATGTCCTCATCTAGATCGTTGATATAGATGGTAAATAGCTGAGGCCCAAGGACTGATCCTTGTGGCACTCCACTAGTCACATCCCGCCAATCTGAAAAGGACCCGTTTATCCCTATTCTTTGTTTCCTACCCGTTAACCATTCCCCAATCTGCGTTAATATGCTCCCCCCAATTCCATGGGCCCTTATCTTTTGGACTAACCTTTTATGCGGCCTCACACGACTCCACTGGCTTCCCATCACACAGAGGATACAGTTCAAGATCCTGATCCTCACCTTCAAAGCCCTCCATTGTCTTGCTCCCCCCCACCTCTGTGACGTCCTAACCCCCTACCATCTTTCTCGCTCCCTCCGCTCAGCGGGCTCCGGCCTGCTTCACGTCCCCCGCCTCGCTTGCCCCACTATTGGCGGGCGGGCCTTATGCACTCTGCCCCCATCCTCTGGAACTCCATCCCGCATCGCCCCCTCTCTTGCATCCTTCAAGACCCTTCTCAAGACCCTCCTTTCGATATCCCTGCTTCCCCCCCTGCCCTCCACCCTCCCTGACCCCGACCCCTACCCCCAGCTCGGGTCCGAAACTCTGTCTGTCCAGCGCCTTGAGACATCCTCCCTACGTGAAAGGCGCTATACTAATGTAAATTTGTTGTTGGTGTTGTTATAGCAGCTCAATTGGTCCCTCGCTTAAATCAGCTAATAAATAGTTTGAGAATTGTACCTGTGCCCTCTTGCACTTAGTACTTTACACTGAGCCAATTAAACTACAGGGAAGCTAATACTCTCTGCTACTGTGGCACATTTTGCATATATATTGTATATACAATATAATATATAATATATAATATAGGTCAGATCAGAATTGTATTCCTGTTAACTTGTATGCCCTGAATCACATGAAATTTGATTTTAAAACATTTAATCAAATATGGTAGTGAGGTAACGCTAATTATAAAACTGTATTCCTCATAGCTAAATATTGAGATGATTTTAAACCGTTAAACTGGCAAATGCCCAAGGAATGGATGTGAAATTGTGTGTTGGCTGTACCAGTGAAACTTTAAAATATTGAATATATGGAAAGGTAAAAAGCCCCTGTGAAAATATACTGCATTAAGTATTGGCTATTTTAAACTCGGGTTGAAAGACTTTCTTAATGTACAATGTTTTATATTCTTACAGGAGGACGGTATCAGCTAGAAATAAAAATTCCAGAAACGTATCCATTTAATCCTCCAAAGGTAAGACTCATCTGCATATGCATGCTTCTGGATTAAAATAAGACTCAAATTACTAGTAACATTAAAATGACTGGAACATATATATTTCTGCTGTTGACCAGCACATCTGGAAAAACTGCCTGTTTTCAAATGAATGGTACCACGGGATCTTTAATGTCCACCTGAACATGCAGATGGGACCTTGGTTTAATGTCTCATCCAAAGGATGGCACCTCCAACAATTCAGTGCTTCCTCAGCACTGCTTTGGAGTGACAACGTAGAATAGGATCTTAAAATGCCGACATCCTATAATCTGAGATGAGAGTGCTATCAACTGAACCAGCATGTTGCGGGTAACCTACTATTGTAGCCCACTGGCACCCAGACTTCAATCCATTTTTCTACCTGATATGTGTCCAGATGAAGGCTTTAAAACAGTATTTTTAAACTTTGGCCAAAGACAGAAAGACTATAGCAGAGCAATGCAATTTGTACTCGAGGAAGAGGGTAGCATGTGATCTCAATTAGAATGAGATCAGTGAATCTTGAGTTGCTACATGATCTACATTTTGTAGTGTATCCTGTTGCTTTTTGTTCTTGAAGCTGAACCCACTGTGGGTTTTCAGTAGCTTTCATTCTGCATTTACTCTCTTTTTTTGTATACCTAATGGTGAAGCGTCCTGTGATGTTGTTTGGCAGTATTTAGTTTAAAAAATCATGCTGTTGTATTTTGTGTTATCTAAGATGCAACAGATCTACCAGGACCTGAAAGCCTGTAAACATTTGATAGTGTTTTGTTTGAACATGCCAATATAGTTGCATTGCTCTTGACTCTTCCCACATGAAATCACTCGTAAGATGCAAGTGGACAATTTTTCCTGCTTCCTATTTTTGATGGGGTGACTGGGTGGTTCGATATTGTGAAGGGGAGAGGAGAGAGGAAATATTTGTTTGCCTCATCTGGAATGATAAACTGCACAACTTGCACTGATATTATACCATTCAGGCAGGATGGAGGGTTAGAGCATTGAGGTGGAATTAACATCAAAGAAGGCTAGAGAACGTATTTGATAATAACAGCAACAATGACTTACATTTATATAGCACCCTTCGGGCAGGATAGGATCACACAATGTAGCGTAAAGATATTTTAGCATAAATCTGATGCATTGACTTGTTAATTTTTTTCTTAGAAATTAACTTGGGGGAATGCAATTTGTTTGCATTAATCAATAAACCTGGGATACTGTTTGTTCAGAATTGTAAATCTTTTAGGATTACTATATGAACCTGTTTGGCATTTTCTTTTATCACTTTAGTAAAATTTGACACCAAAATGCAAACCTGCTAGTTTTGAATGGGGATCTGCTAGTTTGATATGTGTAATGTGAGTTTTTCCATTGCAGTGACCACAAACACTGATTACATAACAGACTTTCAGTAACCCAGAGTTTTAAATTTCAAGAACAACTGACATAATGCTCAGACCCTTAGTATTTTAACAAAAACCTCCAGCTGAGTTGAGCCCTTTGACGGAAAGCTGTATGAATCCTGATTTTTGTGTCATCGGTTATGATTATTATGGGTAATGAAAAATTGCATTGAATCTTTAAAAAAAATTGAGATTCAAGATTTTCAAATTCTTGTGTTGTTTTGTTCATTTAAATCTCTGGTTAGTATTTGAAAAATGAGTATTATTTAGGTGTTGCCTTCAGATAGCCAGTGTAAGACCGAAAATACTAGTTATTGACCTTTTCATTTTAGTTGTAGCTGAGCAGCATCTCTTTGTGGCTGAGCAAGCTTCAAGGTGATGTGTTTGGAAATGGAATGCAAGAATTGATCCTCTGTGCTGGTCAGTCATCCGGTTCCTGAGCCAGGCGGGCGGAGTTGGGCGGGCGCAGGAGGCGTGCGGAGTCGGGCGGGCAGGTGCAGGAGGTGGGCGGAGGAGGGCAGGCGGGCAGTGCATTGCTGATGACAATCCAGACAGACAGGTTTGTTGACTTGGAAGGGCAGAATAGTGACACGGAGCTGGGAGTCTTCCCACTCATCTGTTAACTGTGCAAGCCAAAACTCTAACTAGTACTAATCACTATCGGGTGGAATGGTCCTAGTTGGACAAGCAGTGGGAAGCTTGCTATATAGTGGCCTCAGTGGCAAGTTTTGTAGGTTTACTTGGTTGGTCTCCCGTAGTATCTCAATGCAGACTCTGGAGTTCCTATTCCCTGGTTCTTGCCAGCCTATGCCTGATATTTCTCCAGAATCTAGTAGGCAGGGTGCATCACTCTAGGGCGAGAGTGCATTTTCCATTTCAGTCCAAAGAAATGTCCATGTGTAAACGGAATACATTTGTGGAACTGTGTTTGGTTTGATATTCTTAAGCATGGTGATGGGCATCCACATGTGTCAAGATATCCGGCTCACCCCAAAAAAAATAAAGTATTTTATGTTTTTCAGGTTCGGTTTATTACAAAAATATGGCATCCAAATATCAGCTCAGTTACAGGAGCCATTTGCTTGGATATTCTGAAAGATCAATGGTATGTTTTGACTCCTTCCTCTTTCCTAATGTATATAACTAAAGCAGAAAACCTTATCATTTTCATTTGTTAGTGAGCATTGTAGTGGTAGCTTCTTTGTGCACAAAGTTCAAAAGCTCATTTATATTTTGGCTAACTGAATTATCTGATTTGCTAAAATTGTGTTCTCTTGTGGGGTTGACTGTTGCTGAAGGCCAGCTCACATGTTGGGTGCAATTTATCCGAGTTGCCATGTAGAATTATGTGCTGTAATCTGAGATTGCTTTGTGTTGAAATGAAGGCATAAACATATAAAATCTCTGGCATTTGGTACCGCAATGAGGATTACCCCGATGCTTCAATTGTGTTCTCTTCCTCCCTCAACCCTCTGTGTTCTGGCTGCTAATAAAGCCAACAGTTAGCACTACAATTCTTTGTGTAACATTACTGCAATAAAGGAATAACCTTTGCAACAATTGTTGGACGGTGGTGATTGCTGTAATGCTCCAGAATGAAGTGCACAGTATATGGATAGAATGTTCTGGGACCCCTTTCCTGGTCCCTGGATTACTGAATCCTATTATGTTACTGCTGATGTATGAGTAAGCAGTTGGTTACCTATTCTGATTGATGTTTCGAGCGTGCTGCTTCATTTTCAGAACTCCGTTCGATTTCTCTTACAACGCTGATCATTCAATGCTAATTATTTACTAATTTATGGACGATGTCTCAAACCGTGTACAGTAGAACCTCACTAACCTGGTCACTCAAGGGACTGGGCAAAAGTCACCTACTTAGTGACCTGACCTGATTACTGAAACAGGTCGGGTGATTCAGGTCACTGATGTAATGTTAAGGGCACTGATAATGGGCAAGTGTGATAAATATTCAACAACCATACTTTGCAATCTCATTAAAATAAAGGCAGTGTCGCATTTAAAACAAAAGCTGTCATGTATTCAGCCTATCTTTTGAAAATGAATCCAACTTATGTTCTGCCAATGCGTAGATCACATCTAACTGTCTATGCCTTTTGCCCTCATTGTTTTTGATTAAGTCCACTCTATTACGTAAGGACAACTCCTTCTGCGGTGGCATGTTTACAACACTTGTCAACAGTCACTAAATCAAAACAAAGTACACACTAACCATGTGCACTGAATACAGCATTGTCCGCAGGAGCTCAGGTTAGGCCGCGGGCGCCGGGCGAAGTCGATTTTCTGCTTGCGCCGTTTTCACGATCCCAACACTCCCCACATCGCGCATGCGCGACTGGAGCCCACTCCATCCACAGTAGCAGCGTCGAGGAAACAGCATGAGAAGCCTGAGGCCTAGCGCACTGTGTACTGTACAGGATAGTAGCGGAGGGGGGTGTTTGTACCGGGTTTGAAGCGGAGGAGGGCGCTGTTGGTGATTAGCAACAACAAATTACATTTGTATAGTGCGTTTCATTTCAGGAGGACGTCCCAAGGCGCTGGACAGTTAGGGATTTGGACCTGAGCTTAGAGTTGGCAGGGAGGATAGGAGGAGGATGGTGACCGAAGGCATTGTCAAAGAGGAGGGTCTTGAGACGTGCCTTGAAGGAGGCAAGGGAGGGAGCAAGATGAATGAAATGTGGGATAGACTTCCAAGGAGTGGGGGAAGAGATCCTGAAGGCCCAACCGTGGATGGTGGGGCGGGCCGGACGGGGGACGTGGAGCAGAGGACGGAGCAAACAGGTCGATATGTAGTTAGTAGGTCACAGGTAGGGAGGTACAAGGTCGTGGGAGGCAAGGACGAGGTTTTTGAACTCTATCCTTTGGGGGATGGGGAGCCAGTGGAGCTGGGCAAGGGTGAGGCTGATAGGGTCACGGAGCCTGGTGTGGGAAAGGACACAAGCTGAAAGTTCTGGATGATTTGTAGCTTGTGCAGGGAAGAGATGGGAAGGGTGACAAGCAAGGAGTTAGCGTTTTCATCACATCGAGTAGAGCCTGGAGGTGATGACAGTATGAGGGTCTGAGAGGAGAGGCAGTAGCAGAGCCGGGGCGATGTTATGGAGGTGGGGGAAGGGGTCTTTTATTTATCATAGGAGGCACTCTAGAAGCAAGCTAGGGTTTTTCAAATGTATTGTCAAGTGATTGTAAAATCGAGTGTCAGTCAGGCTGAATTGTCTAATAAAATCCATGGACCACTCAGTTCAAGCATGTGGAGCACTTGATAGATGAGGAATTGAAGCTCAAATGCAATCGTGAAATTTTTGCTTATTTACTGCATTGAATCAGCTAAATGCTGATAGTTGCCAAAAAGGAACAAATCCGCTATTTCACATCACTCCCTAACATTCATTTAAAAAAAAACACTCGCTGCTAGGATTGTGGGGTGTGTTTTCTAGAAGGATGAGATCAGATTGGTGAAAGGCCTTATTCATTTGTACCTTTCTTGTAATCCATGTTTCGAAAACGTGGGTCCTACAACTTTCATTGAGCTTCACCAGATTCGGGTTCAACTCTGAGCCAAGCCCTATGCAGACACATTAACTGCACAGGATTGAATGATATTTTCATAAAGTATTTTATTCAGTCCTTTGAAAATCGAAACTTTACTTTTGACTACAGAGAGCCCAGGTTTCCAGCAGCAAGAGTTTCTAAGAAAGTCTGATTCAATGTCCTTGTAGAAACTTAATAGTGTTCAAGGTTGGAGATTTCAACCCAGCAGTAGATGAGCTGACCTGCTTCTTTTGTTGTTCTGGCAACGCTCTTGTTGCTTCTGTTCTGAATTGCTTCTGCTTTCCCAGGAGGTGGCTTATCGACCCCCAGTTCACACCCATGAATATACCCAACTCAGCTGCTCACTAATTGTCTTGCCCGAAGCCATTAGTGCTAATGTGATTCAAGGAAGTAGCTACAAGCAGACGAGAGCTGTGAAGTTCAAGGCACAGGATGTACATAACAACTCACTACACTGTTTCACACCACAGCTTTCATTACAATAAAAAGGCTGCCAAAAATATAGATCCAAGTAAAATATTTTCCACTGACTTGCATCTGTTCAGAATCATGTGGCTCTTTGTTATTTGGGCCCTTTTTCCATTTGTTCATTCCCTGAAGATATTTGCCTCCAATTTACCAGGTGTAGTGCTACAGTAGTCTACTTGTATATAATAATCTTTACATTTGATATAGCGCCTGATCACGTCTCAATGAGCTTCACAGAATATACTGCATGTTTACTTTTAGTACTGGGTGAGACTCATGACGTACTGTAGCCAGGGCACTTCATTTTTAATGCATAATGTTGTCAATATTAGGAGCAAAGGAACCCTAACCTTCCACTATTAAGTGCTCTGAGACGCTACCCTGCGTGGTAGAAACTATAAATACAAGTAGTTGTTGTTGACTTTAATTTCTTTTGGTCAGCCAGGTGTGTGCCACGTGTCATGCTGAGTATCTGACCGATCAGAGCTCCATATTGGAGTGCCAACTGCACATGGAAATTTCCCATTTGTAATTGAAGCTCTGGTTCATGATTTATTTTGAGAATGTTTCTATTTGGTTCAGTGTGATACTTGAACACAACAATAAATGACAGTGATGTGCCTTGCTTTAGGAATAAGTATATATAGAGCCAATAATATATAGTCTTAAGCAGTACAACATAAAAAAATAAGTAAATGTACAATGTAGTGACGGTATATTTTGTAGGCAAATGTGGCATCCAATTTGCGCCCAACAATGTCTGACAAACAACTATGAAATGAATGACCAATTTTATTTGGGAGATTGTTGGCCAGGACACCGGGGGGAATTCCCTTTTCTTTTCAAATAGTGCCAATGGATCTTTAATATTCACCTGAACAGGCAGATGGGTCCTTGGTTTAAATGCTATCATCTGAAAGATGGTACCTTCAATGTAGCACTGTATCGGAGTGTCAATCTAGTTTGTGTGAGTTCAAAGTCCTGACGTTGGGCTTGATCCCACAACCTTCTGATTGAGGCAAGGATACTACCATTCTGGGCCAGCAGCGTCCCTGAAATGAGGCTAATTAATTTGAATAATTTGTGTGTGGGCGGGCAGGGATGATTTTGGTACATTTAAATTTATGGATACAATTTAAAGATCGAAAGGCGGGGGAAAATAAAGTGTAAGACTGTACAAGGAGGATTGACGGTCAAAAATGTTCATTCAGAGAGTGTGAAGCCTGGGGATCATGCCAGCTTCTGTTTTCTTTTATCCATCAGTTGTTTGAACTTTGCTATCACGTGATTGAGCTTAGCTCTGATGTTGCTGTGTTATTCTTGCACTAATAATTTATTTAGGGAGAACATAAAGATGGTAAGGTTAAAATATTTGGCCAGATCCTGCATGCAAAAATGTCAGGGTAACACACTGATCGAGATAATTAGAGCTGATTTAAACAAGATAGTGTTGGTATTTAATTTAACATTGACGACTAGAGTTGAATGGTTGAGGAGTATAAACTAAATGGCATTGCATAAACTGTATGGCACAGAAACAAACCATTCGGCCCAACTATTTCATGTTGGTCTTTATACTCCACCTGAGGCACGAAACTTCCCTATCCCCCTTCCATAATCCCTACTCCCTTCTCCCTCATTTCCTTTTCAATGCATTGATGCTTTCTTTTTCAACATGTCTTTTGGTAGTGAGTTCCACATTCTCTGTGTAATAATGTTCTTCCTAAACTGTTTTAGATCTGATAGTCCCATTTGTACCGTATAACTTTCTATAACTGAATTTTTATTGTAAGAAAAGTTGAATTCATTTTAGAGTTTTAAAGCTAAACAAGAGAAACACTGTTTAAAGTGCAATTAAACTACATAGGCATTCATATTATGTTTTAAAAATGCATATTTACAGAAGCTAAAATTGCTGCCCTACCTTGATAACAAAATTCCCTAACCTATTCAGTCAGGGATAGGATAGGAGAAAGGTAGAATTGAAGGACAAGCATCAAAGGAGTGGATGGAACCTACATCCAAGGCTTATAAAATTCTCCTTAGACTCCAGCTATTTTCACTTTGATTTATTTTTTTCTTTACACCAAATGCACTATATAAATAAAGCTTTTGAGCACAGAAGTAAAAACATTTTTTTAAAAATTCATTACTTAACAATTCTGAATGGTCCCTAGACCTATGTAAACACGGGAGTTAGGTGGGCTGGGCACAAAACTAGCATTATGCCAGGAGATTTCTCTGTGCTGGAAGTTGGCATGTATGGCAGAGTATGTCAACCTTAGGATAAATGACAATGTGATACTGAACTTAAGAGTATTGTGTACAATCCAATTGCTGTTCTACAATACAGACAACTTAGTATTGGTGCCAAAAATCTCAAGGGGGTAGCCCCAATAGTGTAATGGACAGAGTTTATGGACCAGGAGGTGCTGGTTTGAATCATGATCTGTGTTGACTGCATGCTGAGGTTTCTATTCTCAGCCAAGGCTCATTGGTGGGTGGGCTAAATTGGGTTCAATCATGAGAATTAAGGACAATCATTAAAGCGGTGGTGGAAACTACATCCAAGCTTATCCAATAAAACTAGATTTAAGACACATGAATTGTGAGGAGAGGCTACAGGAGCTGGGAATGTTAACACTGAAGTAAAGATATTATGGAACGCCTGGAAGGGCACAGATAAACTCTGGGTTGAAGGAGGAGACTCAATTGGCCAGGCCTTTGAAGAGAGGAAAACCAGCCGGGGTTCCTGCAACTGTTCCTCCTCTACATTACCTTCTACTCGTTGTGAGCATTGTGTAGCAGAAGTCAGACATTGCTGTAACGCCCTCTACAAGTCGAATGGCCTAAGCATGGAATATGAACCATGGCAACTTGGGCATGGTATTGAGGGCGACTGATAGCTGTTTCCGACAAGAGGAGGTCAGGTCAATAACAGAGTGGGGAGACAATTAGGAAAAAAAAGTTGGACTGATTTTTAAAAAAAATCATTTGAGCCCGTTTAGTCCCATATAAATTAATTTACTTTTTCATCGTTTAATTGGTAGTGTGCTTTTTTATTCAAGAGTGAAGGGCTGAGTGGAACCACCAGGATTTGGGGTCAAAGAACCCGTGAATAACTTGTTTTTAAATACAATTCTCAATCCACTGACAGGAACAAACTAGTAGTCCACGGAGGTGATGAATCTTACTTAGACTAAGCAAATGCACACACTTCTGGACTACTGCTAAATGGAGTCTGGTTTTGCTAGAATTGTTTGTTCTCCTAGTTCCGCAGAATTTCTAACATTTATTTACCCTTATTAGGCTGACGAGATTCCTTTCTCTTTGACTTCTTGCCTCCATTATAATTTACTGAACCTTCCTTTTGAAAAACAATTGAATTGTGGATAAAAGCTTGTGTATGATCCCTGTCCATAACATTTTGTTTGTGCGTTTTCCTCATCTACACGTCAGGTGATGAGAAAACTGCCTAATAGCAAAAACAACTTGCATTTATATAGCGCCCCTCATGCAGTGTAGCTTCCTAGAACGCCTAAATACAAGTGTGATGTGAGTGTTCTCAGGAATGAATGAGGCCAAGTGTGAACTCTTGTAGGACTTTAAAAATCACATTAGCACAATAATATTTTTTGAATGACTTCTATTTATGTGACTCAAGTTAATGGGCAAACCACACCAGCCATTGTCTGAATAAGGTTCATCTTCTACTTAACCCCTGGGTTACTTTTAAAAGTATGGTTTCAGCCAAGAACCCAGCAAGAAGGTCTCTGTCCTTAATTTTCTGTAAATGTCCACTAGGAGGGGTATGAGAACAATGCGGTTTGATGTTTTTCAAATGAAATGTTAAAGAAAATCGATAGGTGTACAAGAGATGCCAGAGGCGAGTTGTGCAGTTATTGGAATTCTGAAGAGCAGTTTGAGGTTTGCACTTAGTGTAGTGTGTAACTCTGTTGCTCAAACACTTGTCTTTTTTTAGGGCAGCTGCTATGACTCTAAGGACAGTTTTATTATCATTACAAGCCTTACTGGCAGCTGCTGAACCAGATGACCCGCAGGATGCAGTAGTAGCACAACAGGTTGGTGAAAATTTGTCTGATGCCAGCATATGAATTTTGAGGCTATATATTCTCATTATTTTGGTTCTCTGAAATTGATGAACAGTCCACAAAAACATTCATCTTTTCTGATGTACAAACGTTTCACTAGATTATTTTGAAAATAATGTTGACATTTTTATGAACAGTATTGATTTTGAGGAGTAAATAAAGCACTTCACATATTGCTCCCCTGAAGCTCACGTTTATTGTTGTTTGATTAGCTGGATGTAAGACACATACAGAAACCCATCACTGCCTGACTATGCTTGAGCTCCATGTATGTATGCTACCAACACATGGACATTTTCTTGTGTCTGGATTGGACACCCTACTTAGCTATTGTCAGAACATATTAGGGGTAGTTCGCGAGAGACTGGACTTGCGGACCAATCATGTCCCATTTCTGGTTGTGATCCTTACACATTAGTGGATGTTGGGTATTGACAGGATTGAGTACCTATAATTTTTGTTCTTCATTTCTCTCTCCCACTCTATCTGAATAGCCTATCTCACGCTTGCCTCCTATGCTTGAACATGATGAATGACCATGATTGTTGCACCACTGCAATACCACGCCAGTATAGTTTGTCTCCTGGGGAAAGGAAAGATAATAAATTGGAGTGTGGAGGTCCTCCTGGGTTATTTAAAGAATGAAGTGTATTCTATCAACCCGTACCCTCCCTCCTCACCCCCTATCAACCTCCCCGCTCCCTCCTAACTTGCTACCAACACCCCCGCCCCCTCCTAAACCCCTACCAACCGGCCCGCTCCCTCCTCACCCCCTACCAACCCTCCCGCTCCCTCCTAACCCCCTACTAACTCGCCCACTCCCTCCTAGCCCTCTACCAACACCCCCCACCCCTCCTAAACCCCTACCAACCTCCCCACCCCCTCCTAACCCCATACCAATCTGCCCTCCCCCTCCTAACCCCCTACCAACCCCTCGCCCCCTCCTAACCCCCTAACAATCCGCCCGTTCCCTCTGCTCAGCCGACTCCGGCCCGCTCATGTCCCCCGACACACCCACTCCACCATTGGCGGGAGAGCCTTCAGCCACTCTGCCCCCAACCTCTGCAATTCCAACCCCAATCACTCCGCCTCACCCCCTTCTTAGTCTTCTTCAAGTCCCGCCTCAAGACCCTCCTCTTCAACCATGCCATTGGCCACCCCCCTTCTCCTCCCTTCCCCTCCCTTCTCCCCCCTTTTCCCCTCCCTCTTCCCCTACCCTCCCTTCCTCTACCCTCCCTTCTCCCCCCTTCCCCTCCCTTCTCCCCCCCCCCCCGACACCAGCTCGGATCTGAAATGCCGTGAAAGGTACTATACGCACTTCATCTTCTTCTTGTGGCTCCGTCTCGCACGAGGGACATTAAAACCATGCGTGACAAAACTATTACTGCCCCCGACTCCTGGTAAATCTAATAACCCGTTTGCCCCATCAATTAGCTGCACTGCAGCGCCCACGGAAACATTAATCTCGCCTCCGAATGGTGAACCCGGGTTTAGAGTGAATGGAGTTTCAACAATGTGCTGCACAGTGAGAGATCGTTTTGAGAACAGACCAGAGAAACTGTACTGATTTCCACTGGAAGAGGATGATTGAGAGTCAGACGTCAAGAGGAGGAACAAATTATCAACCGGCATTGGATTTCTTTTCAACCGCACCATTGGTCACCTTCCTCCCCCTCTCCCTGGCTCGGCCCCAGGATCTGTTACTGTGAAGCGCTCTTAAGACGCCGTCCGGCGAGGAGGGCGGTATATAAATCCAAGTTGTTATTGTTGTATTGAACAATATGATGTATTGACTGACCTTGTAGATGCTCAGTACAACAGTACCAATAGTTGTGTTCACTGTGACTTTGCAACATTAGAGGAAGTTATTTTCCTCCAATTATCTTTTCTTTTGAAATGCCTTTTTTTTAAAAATGTTGAGATATGGTGTCCTTTATCCTCAATAGGCCATTCTACATGCATGAGCCCAGATGACAGACATTACACCTAAGCATGAGCATGTTTTCTCCCAACATTTGCAACTATTCTCTTTCAGCACTTATTGTGAAATTCTGAGTTTTAAAATTTGTGGTAAATTCAGTGAATTTAGCAAATATGCCTACTTTTGAGGTGATTGTTTGCAGCTTTTGTTCGAGCATTATACTTAACGATTATGTTCTTTCCATAGCACAAGCAAAATCCAGAGATGTTTAAACAGACAGCCAGGCTCTGGGCACATGTTTACGCTGGAGCACCAGTTCCTAGCCCTGAGTACACCAGAAAAGTAGACAAACTGTGTGCTATGGGCTTTGATAAAGTGAGTATTGAATCATCTTTATCTGATTCTGTTACTCGTGCAATAAGGATTTGCTTGTGGAGTTCATAAAAAATATTTCTCATGTATATTCAACAAACTTTGTTCCAAGATACCATTTGTCATGAAAACAGATGTTGCTGCTAGTGTTTATATGTGCAGTGGTTACCAACTCTATAGTATAGTGAAATGCACTGGGCTGTGTCAGAAACCAAGGGACAGCTACTTGATGGTAATATATTCACTAGTAGACCTGGCTGAGACCCGGAGGGCATGGCTATTTAAGAATTAGTATTCCTCTATTTAGTTAAAGAAAAGGGAAACATAATGACCATTAGCAACCTTCTGACATCTCTCACCCCCCAAAAAAAATTTTTTTTTTCACTTTTAAGAGTTTTTCCCATTACAGGGGGAATAATTGTTTCTTATAATTTATCAAAAAAGCCAATCAAACATTAGATTACAACTCAAGGACATTTAACCGTAAGTCAATGTTATTTCTAATATAGATCTAACCGTAAAGTGGCATTTCAAAAGCATTACAGTTTGGGACACACCACCTTCAAAGGGACAGGTACATTGGAGAGAATTTAATGATGACTAGGATGATTTTAATAATTTAGGGCTTCAAATAATGAAGCGAGGCTTCCGGAGCTGAACTTCTTCCTACAGTCAAATTCAGTTAATTGAATATCGGATAATTGACTAATTTGGTCCATTGAATAGAATTTAGAAATCCCAAAACATTTGCACACTTATTCGGATAATCAGTTAATTGAATACTCAATATACAAATAATTTGGTTTATTGAATAATTTTCCCTGTGACCATGTGTATGAAAAAACAATTACGCATCGTCCCAAATCAATACCTTCTACAGTACAACGGAAAGGCCATTGTCGTTCTTTCCTCCTTCCCCATCCCTTCACCACTCCCAAGAGCGGTGTCACTGTCCATTGGTCGGTTGGCTACGTTTGAATGAGAACATGTCTGATTGCTGAAGAGAGTTTCCGGTGAGGTTGGAAGCTGTGTGGCTTGAGCTCTGGAAGATGAGGCTCTTTATGTTTAGTCCGGTTATATGAATAGTTTTATTTATTTAATAATTTTCACTGTCAAATTGAGTATTCAGTTAACATAATTTCATTAGCAAGTTTTTAAGGTCCTCTAAATTTCTGAGAGAGCTTGTTGATATAAATGTAAGCAGGCTGTTACATTGAGTACAGATTGAGAAGAACTAGATTTAAAATTAACAGGATTAGAGATTAGAAGAAATCACATTATCCCCAGAGATGTGGAGAGACTTCTGGCTGTAGCAGTTGATCCCGTGGATCAGGAAGGAATTGGATTGAAGGTTATGACAATTGAATTAAGGAAACTTGCTTAACTGTCTTTTGGATTGGAGACCAGGGAGTATTTTTTGCAAAACTTTCGTCCAAGAGACTGGTAGACTTCACAGTGGGTTACATGGTACATGGAAAGAATGGACTTGATGGAAAAAGTGGCTGTTTCCCATTATAAGTTGCTGTTTCCCATTGTTAATGATTTTTAAGATTTTTGAGTTGATGAAGCATTTGCCAGTTTTAATGGTTCTTCACACTGACAATTATTGATAGTCCTGCATGAGGGCAAATTTCCTACAGTTGAATGTGAACAAGACTGAGTGGCTCGTGCCAGCACCTCAGCACCTCAGGCTCTGGCAGCATCAACCTCCATGGTTGCACACTTCAACTCACCAAGCCAGTCAGGAACCTAGATGTCTTGTTCGACCCTCAACTGTCTTTTCTTCCCCACATCCAAGCCATGACCCGCTCTGCCTTCCCTCACCTCTGTAACATTGCCCGACTCTGCCACTACCTCAACCTTCAGGCCGCTGAAACTCTTGTTCATGCCTTCATCACCTCCAGGCTCGACTATGCAAAGCCCTGCTTGTCGGCCTTCCCAACTCCTCCCTCCACAGGCTGCAGATAATCCAGAACTCTGTAGCCGTGTCCTCTCCCGCACCAAACTCCGTGACCCCATCTCCCCAATTATCACCCGACACCATTGGCTCTCTATCCTTCAGAGGATCCAGTTCAAGATCCTGGTCCTTACCTACAAAGCCCTCCATGGCCTCGCCCCACCCTACCTCTATGACCTCCTAACCCCCTACCAACCTGCCCGCTCCCTCCGCTCAGCTGGCTCCGGCCTTCTCCATGTCCCCCGACCCACCCGCCCCACCATTGATGGGAGAGCCTTCAGCCACTCTGCCCCAACCTCTGGAATTCCATCCCCCGATCACTCCGCCTCGCCTCCTCCTTAGCCTCCTTCAAGTCCTGCCTCAAAACCTCCTCTTCGACCATGCCATCGGTCACCACCCCCTTCCCCTCCCTTCTCCCACCCTGACCCCAGCTCGGGTCTGAAATGCTGTGTACTGTCCAGCACCTTGGGACGTCTTCCCGACGTGAAAGGCACTATACAAATGTAATCTTGTTGTAGTGACGACTGTTGGTGACTTGACTGGTTGAGAATGCTTCAGTTTTAATGGTTATTTATTTGATGTCTAGCTTTTGAACAACTCAAGCAATTAGAATATTAAGTAAAAACATTTTTAGTTAATGGAAAAGATGACGCCAGGGTCCAGAACAGAAATAAAGAATGTCAAAGAATGAAACTTGAGACTCGAATGGAAGACTTTTATATAACCTAGAATGGACAGAAGCTGAAAGGACAGAAAAAGGAAAATCTATTGACTATTTAAAATACTTATCAAAATACCTTCTAAAGTTATCCCTTAAACAAATCCATATTTGTGAACATTAAACGATTAGATGTGCTCTTAATAATGTACTGTAATAAGTGTGTTCTGATATAATCTAATCCCTTTAGAACAGTTTCATGAAATTGGCATATCTACAGCACATGAAGTTGATCCCTGTGTCTGACTAGTCAGCTTTTGAGCATTTATCAGATGTTCCAAAAGGAACAACCACACCAAACATATTACAGGTTGTCTGTTCATTGTTGGATAAGTGATAAAGAACTAACAATGAAACAGTAGATTGGATATTTAAACAAAAACAAATCTTTCCTGCTCTCCTAAAGCTGTCAATTTATTTTGTTTGGTCAGCTGAAGTCTTGACATGTGCAGAAATCTAATACCATGCTTAAGAATATCAAAACCAGACTGAGTTCCACTGTGTAGGCTCTCAACATGTGGAAATGTCATTGTTTAAAGTGGCATGCACCCGTCTCTCCTTGAGGGGCTCACCAGTTTACATCATTCTGGAGAGTATGAGGTTCTGGTTGGGGAGAACCTTGGGCAAGTTTGCTTACTCCACACACCTAATAATAATCCCTCCAAAACAGTAATAAATTGGTCATTTTCAATCCACGACTGTTTGTGGGACACTGCTGTGCACAATTGGCTGCCGCGTTTCGTCCACAAATATACAGTCAATTCACTTTACAGTCTATCCTATGAAGTGTTTTGAGACGTTGAGAAGACGTGAAAAGTGCTATATCAAATTCAAGGATTATTATTATAACCAAGTTAACACTCCAGAGTTTGTTTTGGGGTACTCTTGGTTTAACCAGCCAAATCCAAATTGGTGCAATAGAATGCCCCACCGGGCAAGTTTCTCGCTGCTTTTCCAGCTCAGACCACCTCCTACCCATTAGGGCTTTCGCTTGCAGTGTTAACAGAAGTGGGAAGAATTCCTACCCCCCTCCCCCAATACTGATCACTACGCCCCTTAAAGTCCTGTCCATGAGCCAAACTGGCTGTCATCAATACAACACTAGAGTATATTGGACCCGTCTGGCTCAGGAACCAGACTACCAACACTTAATTCAATTAATCCAAAATGACGCTGCCCAGATACTCACCCACACAAAACTCCGTGCCCCCATCACACCATTGACTCCACTGGCTCCCAATTACCGAATGGATCAATTTTAAGATCCTCACTCATTTTCAAATCCTGGCTGGCTCCAGCCTCCTGTTCATCCCTCATCCTATTTACTCCACCATCGGTGGCTATGTCTTTAGCCACTATGCCTCGAAACTCTGAAACTCCCTCCCTCCCTCCCTCACCACTTTCAAATCCCACCTAAAGACCTTCCTTTTTGATAATGCTTACAGTCACCTCCGCCCTTCCTCTCCCCCTGGCTTGGCATCAGACTCCGCCACTGTCAAGCGCTGCTGGACGCTACCCCGCGCGAAGCACTCCATATAAACGCAAGTTGTTGTTAATGCAATTTGTTGTTATTGCCACACTGATTCAATTCTGACATTCCATTGCCAAGCACGTCACTTTGAAGCCAGCTCAGCTCCACAGAGACTCCACTTCCTATTAATTTATGCTGTGTGCAAAACCATTGGCGTCTGTTGCCCTCCAGTATTTCTAAGCGGCAATTGTTTATGTGGAAGTCGAGCTGGTGAGTGTCAGAAAACTATTAGTCTGTAGAAAGCATCACAACTGGGGCCAATCTTTCCTCATCAGAGATGCACATGTTACTCAGTGTGGAATGCAAAGGGTCTGTTCGCCTCTCCTGATTTCTCCCCCATTGACCATTGAGGTCAATGTTAGTGCTCCCTGGTGTCCTGGCTGTTAGTTGATGTTACACAAATTATGAACAACACTGTTCTGATTCTGCATGATTTATGCTAGGTTGCGGAGTGCCTGGATTAAAGAAAAGAATTCAGGAACTTTTATTTTTAGTGTTGTCACTTCCCCTCAACTTGGTTCAGTCAATTTGAATCACAATTTAGTGGTTCAAAAAAGAGTTTAGCCTAGAAACAGAAATGCGTAGCGCAAAAGCAAGCAATTCGTCGTATGAAGTCTGTACTGGCTCGCACAACATTATTGTAGGTTTTAAAATGTTTGTGTCTATATTGCCACAGACCAATTTATGCTCTAGGTTAGATGCAGAACTCATTCCTGAACCTGGCAGACACTTTTCTGAGATAATCCTGCTGTGTACATTTTTAAATGCCTACGTTTTCTGTTTTTTCACTCAAGGAAGTACATTATGTCAACTGAACACCTTCCAGATGTCTTTAGTTTTAGAGTAACATAATATCCCACTAATCAGGTGCTACTTTAGAATCTTATTTATTCATGAGTAGCTATAAATTGTTCAGATTATATGATTTGATTCCCGAAAAGCTAAGTAGGAAATTGCATGAGTCTTTCTGCTTGTGACGACGGACTACCTGTCTTCTACATATTCCGATTAGACTAAGGGATTGTTCTAATTATCAATAACATTTAATATGACTTGCGCGAAGTCAGAGTTGCAGGTAAACTTGTATAAGTTGTATAAAATCAGATTTAATCAATCTACATTGCACATATATAATTCAATACAACCGGTAAGTGTGCATGTGGTAGTTCATCACTGTGATGTTTCCCACGATTCAATGCAACTAGCCTTATGTAGCCATTGCCCTTCCAGTGCATCTCCTGGGTCCGCGGTGAAAAAAGAACAGATTCATTGTTTTTATTGGCCTTGACAATTCACAAAATTAATATCTAGAATGAAGAGAAAGGTTTAGCTGTAATTAATGTGGAGAATAAATTTGAGTTACATACCCTAGAATTAAGGAGGTTGAGAGCTGATTTGATTTGAGGTATTTAAAATAATGAGGAATTGACATGCAGTGACATTTTGGATTTTTGGAAAAGTAAATGTGGGTCCATATCTCTGTCATGTTATAGGCTTCCCAATGAAGTATATTATAATGGAGTTCCATTCTAGTTACTTGGGAATTTTATGAATTAAAGTTTATGAGGATTGGAATTAAAGATCGGCCATGACCTAATAAATGAACAGACTAAATGCCTACTCCTGACATCATGTTTCCACCCACAATAATCTGCTGTAGTTTCAGTTTTTCTGTATTATATTAGAATAATAATTCTTTGAATTTGATATAGCATCTTTCAAATCAGGAAAATGTTTCAATGCGTCTCTGCTGAAGTCTTAACCAGCTCGGACTATCCGGCTGGTCAGGGCTTTGACTTAAAGGGTTAAAAGGGACCGAGTGGGATGACTCCCTGCCCCCAGTCTGCCCTTCCAAGTCCTGCTGATGAGCCAGGCTGGTTGTGCTGTCATCAGCAGGAAGCTTGCCAGGCAGTGAGATCAATGGCAAGCTATGCAGTTTCAGCTGGTTATCATGAGTTCAATGTAGTGGCATGGGATCTTTAAAGTCCCTCTGAGCAGGCAGACAGATCTGATCCAAAAGGCAGCACCTCCAACATTATGGTGCTGCATTGCATTGACACTGTATTGGAGTGTCAACCTCGACAAAGATCCACCTTGGGGATACTGAGATCAGATGAATAATTCAGTCAGTGGTTTTGTTAGGTTCGTCACATTGAAATGGATTTGGGCCATTTACATAGCTCAGCTTTTCCAATGTCTGGAATGCAGCATGGTGACATTTTTGACATTCAGCTGCTAATGATGTTAGGATCCTGAATCTTCTCCATTGATAAGTATTCTCAGTGTGAACCTTATAGTTGGGTGAGCAGGGTGTGCTCCTCTAGGGACTGTTTGTGTGCAATTGGCTGCCATGTTTTGTCCACAAAATATAGTCAATTCACTTTACAGTATATTTGGTGAAGCACTTTGAGATGTCTCAATGATGTGAAAAGGTGCTATATCAAATGTATTATTATAATACATAAATGCGCTAAGTAAGATTCAAGCGTTGTACCAGGGAGACTAATGTTAGTGCAATGTTCAACAGATGTGCAAACTTTAAAAACACAGCCTCAATAAAATTAGGTTCCACGTCAAAGTGGCAAGGATTGCTGGGACAGATTTCTTGGTGTTGACTGCTGTTATACTTCTGGTTTCTTACCTTAATTAAGTATTCCCTTATAGGGTGTGTTTCCCACATTGGGTTGAGATCTGTATGTGCAGTTTGGCAGGGTTTCCATTTGCCAGTTTGTGCCAGATCATTGTAAATTCTGATTTCAGCTTGGCTATATAAACAAATTGGTTGTAGAAAATAACTGTAAGGCTTGCAAATGTATGGCTTCTGTTATGCTGTGTGGTCTGACTGAAATGGACCTAGCAAATCTAATAATATTCTTGTCCAATCAAACCTACTGTACCGAGCCTTTACAGATGTGAATATGTCCAAATAAACACAAAATATAATCCTATTGCCACCTACTGCTTATTTTTATTCTTGAATTTCTTTTTCAGAATGCAGTAATAGTGGCCTTGTCTTCACAATCTTGGGACGTGGAGTGTGCAACAGAACGACTGCTTAGCAACTGAAGAATTCTGGGATTGCTTCTCCCAAAGGCCAGGCGCCCTTTCCCTTGACAAACACCTCTGCCCTTTTATTTCTGGGTTCTGCATAGATTCCAATTTAAGTATCACTGTAAAATGTGATGATGGCTATAAACGAGACTGGATTCGATGCTCTGTAAATATAGCTCTCAAAAGATCTGTGTAAATTAAACGAGAGGGGAAACAAAGGGGAAAAAGTGAAGTACTTTTAATTTCTTTCCTACTTGGCATTGTAAGGATCCTGAATTTGAGTTGCATTCATCCCTGAAGATGACATACACCTGGTTTAGTGCAGTTTTAACAAGGTGACCAAGGGTCTCAATTGCATCAGCTGTTTTTGTTAAAGAATGTGGTCTGCATCTTAGAAAAAGGCTTTATTTTTGAATGTGTCATGGCTGTTGATGTAGCCATTATATATGGTAATAATGCTCCTGATCAGGTTTTATTTTCTGTTCAGTGAGAGGCTGCTTCACTATTATTTAATTGTGTCATTAATGCACATGGTCTTTTATGACTTCAAAAAAACATTTTAATAGTACCTTATCATGTGAGGATCCTTGAGTATCCTACCATGGTTACATTGTTCTCTAGAAGCCTTTGCTGTGACACAATCAAAAAGAGTTTAAAAGGCTAGTTTTTCTTGAACTGTTTGAGCTGTTAAGCAATTCAATAACTGCTTAAAGGTGGTTTAGAATTGTTCAACAAGTGCTTCAAAACATTCACTCTCTGCTTGTTTCACATTTTCTATATTACACTTTGGAGGCTGTGGTGGCTGTACTCTTGCTGTAAATAACTTATAGCTCACATAGAGATAGAGGTTTGTTATTGATCAGATGTTTGCACTCTGTTCAGTGTCTCTGAAAATTCATAAATGGGATATTACTTTTATCACCCTGTACATAGAGCTAAGCTTTTTATTCGTATTAAAATGGTATTTCATCTTAAAAGTTTACATTAACATTGGGGTCATTTAATACTGTGGTTGATTTATCAAACATCTGCAAAGATTAATTGAAAAAAAGAAAGTGATTTATTCTTTGTTAGTAAACCTATTGACAATCAGTTAGTGTCAGTTACAAATGCACGCTTTTCAAATGTAGTGTGCGTATTTAGTTTGAAGTGATTATTTCTCCATGAGGATAAACTACATAAGGTTTGGAAGTGACAAGATCTTTAAAACTCGGCTGATTTTGGATCTTAACTGCATGCTTCTAATTTATTTCCCACACTAACTAGTTCTTTTGTTTGTGATCAGAAAAGGCATTTACTTGACTGAGAACCAGTATGAGGTTTGTATTTTTTTACTTTTAGGTTGTCATTCAACCACGGAGATATGGTTTAAGAGCACAGGCTGCTGCCAATGGGAATTTGTGTTTTTCATTACGCACATTAAAAACATTTGGATTGAGAATAGTCTTATTTGGCCATTAATTTTGATCTACTGTTCAAATTCAATTATTCCTGAAAACCTCATCTATTGTAATCTTGTTCCAGAATTAAACTGAGATCCCTCTACACTCCTGATGATCCTTATCCTCTCCACCCCCACCCCAAAAAATTACTTTGTAACCATCTGGTGGGAGATTAATTTATTTGTTCCACCCTAATGAGAAGTGCCTCCATTCTGGCTCAGTTCATGTCCAGAATTTGCAGTAAAGAGAATGCAAACCTGTGGCAGGTACAATGAATCATTTGATACTCTGAATCTATTATTGGGAAGAGATGTGTAATCATTTCTGTCCTCCAGACTGGGAATGGTTGAGGCCAATTGTGACTACTGCTAACTCATGAGTGATCAGGATTAAACATCTATGGCTCAGTGATATAACATCCAATGTGGAGATGGTTGACTTACTGGAAGTGACAACTCTCAGTGGCTTGGCTGATGTCCCAGCCCCATCTCTATCTATGTATAAATGTGGTTTCTGTAAATTATTTCCTTGGCCAATTTTTCTTCTCCATTTTTCTTCCTTTTTTCATTTATTGAAGTAGAGTTCTATTAGCGTCTGCTTCTCTCCAGCACTTTGCCCATTTGACAATGATTCATGTGTGAGTTTTGGCAGTCTGTTGGAGGGCCATTCAGCTGGAGGGGACATTGTACATATACATTATTGAGGTGGGATTTCATTGGACTTTGCTTATATTCAAATTCATTTGAAGCACTTTCAGTTGCAATTAAATTCTGATCATTCTAAGATTATTATCCCTGGATTGCTTTTCCAGGGGTAATAATCCCTTAAAAAAATAATAATAATTTTGTAATTAAATCCACTGCTGTGCTTAATTGGCTGCTCTGTTTCGCCAATAAAATGGAGTCAATTCACTTAACAGTATATCCTGTGAAGCGCTTTGAGACATCTCAACTATGTGATAAAGCGTTATATCAAATGCAAGGATTATTATTATTATTATCACTCTGTGTGCTCCTGCAAAAAATTCTCCAAATTGTTTCTGATGGTGACCCTTCCCTCACTTTTTGCCTTCATTCCTGCAAACTTCCCTATCTTGATACTTTGATAATCGCTCTTCCCAACTTACCTGTTGTCCTCACGTAAGTAGCCTTTATGCTCTTTTCCCCTCTCCCTTTGCTAAAGTTAAAATGTATTACATTATTCCTATTAAATTTCATGGCAAGAACTATTCTATATGATTTTAAAATTTAAGCTTGATTTTTATCTACCCATATCTTGAAATACATCTAATTTCCCTGTTACTCTTCAGCTTAAATCTTGGAGATACACATCTTCAAGGGGACGTTATAAAGATGTACAATATAATGAGCTATTAGTGAAGACAGTTAATAGTTTGATCCTGTAATGGGAAGATGAGGGTGAGTGATCTTGCAATAGTCCATCCACTTCTCAGTTGTTGAATCAGGGATATTAAATGTATTAAACATACTATTATACAGTCCCAGGTACCAGCTTAGTCAAAGACAGTTTTGACTTGATCTGACTTTGGGTCAGAAACCTTGATAGCTCAGAATGATTTGACCTTTTTTTTCTACGTAGCATAACAAAAGGTTGCAGAATTAAAGGGATGGACAAAAGTATATCCTGTGAAGTGCTTTGAGACATGTGATAAGGCATTATATCAAATGCAAGGATTATTATTATTATTTTGTTCATAATGAGGAGGCGCTAAAGCCAATTGTAATCCTTCACAGCAATTCCTTGGCTGTAGTTTGCTAACTCAACACAGAATTTGAACCTTAAGCATTTTGGTCTGTATATCTTTGTGCTCCATTAGTTAGTATATTTACCTGTTATAATGGCTGTTGGACAGCTATAAAAGCTTATTTTAAAAAAAAGTAAAACTGCTGTGTACAGTCCACATTTGCTGCACCCTATGCAGGTATTGCCAAATCTACAGATTGGTTTTAAAAAGTTTCATATCTGTTATCTAAATAGTTTAATTGGGTTTGGAAGTCACTACCTCTGATTTCCCCTTCTACTCATTCAACCCTCCCAAAATTTGTTTTAAAAAGTTTTTACATTTAAAGTGTGAAACAAGGCTTTAAATTAATTTTTGCAGAAATAATTGCTTCAGATTTACTGTAGCTTACTACCTGTCTGTTGCGAAAACAGATAGATAGTTAACTTGTAGAATACCTATAACACATACAACAGCAGATGGCTTGCTAGTACTCGCCCCAGTTAGAACAAATTTGATCTAAACACCTTGAGTTCATATGAAATGTCAGTTTATAGATGAATCTGTATATATGCAAATTGTTAATGGAGTCCCTCAAAAGGAAACTTTTTTGAGCCAGTAAACAAATACTTGTACTGCATCCATAAAAAACAAAAACATAGAGATTTCTATTTACCCAAATAGCTCGATGTGTAAAGTACACAGCCTGTATAGTGAGTATCATTACATTTCTTTGCTTGAATGCTTGATTTGCTAGCATTTTAGGACTGCTTCTCTAATAGTCTTCATTGGAAAGTGAATGAAGATACTGTCATTACATTAGAGCTGTTTGGAAGGAGTTAATTTTTGTGCCGTGTGTTTAATACAATGTGGGATTAAGGCCTATCTGTGAAGGACTGGAGTTTTGACCCTTAGGATCTTTTTTCCCTGAAAGTTCTTAAAGTTTACCAAAGGTATCTTTTGGAATTGAGCAGCAGACTTTGCTTGAGTATTTTCAGTTACTAAATGTTTCTTTCCTCTTCCCTTATATGTGTGTGGCTCCTACCCCAGCTGTTATTACCCTATGTATCTCTGCAACTCAGCCTGTTTCAAAGCCAATGCCATTGCTATCTAGTTCCTGAGAAGTGTCAAGTGGAAGCATCCATTTGACTTTTCTTTTCTTGTACAATGCGTGCAAGACTGGTTGCTCTTTAGTCTGAAGTTTAAATCTCCTCCCGCCACCCCCACTCCATGCTGGTCGTAAATAATTCCTCTATTTAAACTTGGGAAATAGAACCCAAAGGAATTATTTTCAGTAAACGTGGATTGATTGATAACTGACCATTAACTTGTCAGGTCAATTACACAATTGATTGTTAAAATCAGGTTTTTGTTATTGGTAAATTATTGCAGCTCGAGCACTGTTTATATGCACTATATTTATTGCAAAATGTCATCTCAAGGGGATACATGCAGCGCTGAAATCCAGAATTTTCTACTCAAGTCCAAATGTGGTGACTTTTACTTGTATATTGTCATTTTTACTTAAAATTGTTCATATTTCATGAAGAACAGTCTATGACAGGAGCTGTATTTCCTTTGAACAGACTAACAATAATCAGCAATGCACTCACTGCCTCAGCCGCACTGGAATTAAACCACGAAGGAATATAGCAAACATTCAACCCATTTTCAAGTCCAAATTAATTTCACTTAGTGTGTTATACAAAAACATGGGATATGATTTGTATTCCATGATAGCAAAGGTGAATTTGCAAGCGAGATGTCAGGTCAGCTACTATGTTCCCATTACATTGTTATAAATTCATATTCTGATGCAAACCTGCTTCATTTAAGGCTATTGTAGCTGTCTGATGGCTCAGCGACTTTATCCATTTGTGTAGCTGAGCCATTTAGATCAAGAGGAAAAAAAGGATTTGGTTCCCCATTTGTTTCATAACCAGATTAGTTTCTCAAACTTGTGTCTTCCAGCTGCAAGTTAAGTCTCTTTCAAAATTTGTAATTGGCTAACCTTGTGCCCTCTATGGAGCAGCAGTATTAGGTGATGTTTGTTATCCACCTTGCATTCATACGGCATAGAATGAAAAAGATCCCAGCACCCCTTAACTGATACCAGACATCTTTAACATGCTTTGCAAAATGCTGCAGGATTAGCCATGGAACGAAGTGATCCAACTGTGTTCTGAACACCAATCATTTTCAGCTACAGTAAAAAAAATGTGATATAATGGTAAGAATCACTCTTAAGATTCATGGTATGAAAAGGCTCTTCTGTTGCCTTACATTCACTGCCATCCCAAATTATTAATATTACTGTTTGGATAGCTCTTTTCAAAGAGCCGGCACAGACAGAATGGGCTGAATAGCCTCCTTCTGTGTTGTACAATTCTATAATATTGATTCAAGCGGAAGATTACAGTAGTAAACTATTGCATAGAAGCCTCTGTTAGAATTCCAGAATAGGAATTATTGCACACGACTGCAATTGTATTTCATATTTTTGAACAAATTTATTTAAGTTCAGTGTTCACAAAAATTATTTGAAATTAACTAAATTTTTAGTTTACTATGCAAGCTGCCTACTACCGTAACGTTATTCCAGAAAAAAATGTACCGTGCAAAAGATATTCTTTCATTTTACATTGCATCCAATATACCCCCGTCCCGATTACTTTTCCCCTTGAAACTTTTATCCATTAAAATGTTTCCCACACTTCTGCCACCAATTTGTTTTGTATTTTGTTGCTATTTCCTTTGTGTGTGCGTGTGTTAAGCTTATTTTGGTGACAGTTTACTGTACAATGTACCTCTACTGCTTGTTCTTGACTTGTATAATCTGTCTATCTTGGCAAGCAACAGAGTAAAGAAATGCAAAATGAAAAGTGTTAGACAAGAATGGGGACTGAGGAAATCAGGTAGGTCTACACACCCGACTCCTCGGAAGCACTCAACAGTGGGATGTGCTCCAAAGTGTGGTATCCTTCACACCTGCTGATTTGTGTTCAACTTGGGTGATCTACCTTCTGTACCTCTGGAAAACAGCGTAGCCAGTTTTAAGGGTGCAGCTTGCAGTTTGATCTCAGGAGACGATAGTTTCTTCTGTTGCCTGCTGAAGTCACTTGCCCACTACCAACCATCGGTAGGTAACTGAAGACTTTATGGATATCTTATCGCTCATCAGACAATGTGCTTACTGGTTCAGTCCAAGGATCTAATTATTGCACAAGTAGTAAATAAAAGTCAAAGCTGTTTTATTAA